CCACATAGATAACAATAGTAAGAAAAAAATATTATCATAAACAATTCTCAAATGAATAAATTGAACATGATTGTTGATAATATCCCCCTTAATAAAGAAATTCTAAAATAACCAAATTTTATAAATAATATTTGCAAAGGAATTGAAATTTTTGAATAACTTCATATAATTTTCATTAGTACGAATAGCAACCATATGCTCTAAGATACCAAAGAAAGGAAGCTTATGAATCTTAATAATATTCTCGAGTTTATTAGATGCATTAACGTCTGTAATGCCCCTAATGTTCTAAATCGTCAACTTAAAGATCGAACATAAGTTTCCTCCATTTAGTCTTTCTAGAATGAAAGGTTAATTGATTATTTTTACCTTTCCAAACCATACGACTATGAAATAAGACAACCTCAGGGTTAGCATACTTAAGTTCACGAATGCCTTTTGAGTCTTTTTTTCTTGGCTTTGATTGTGACCCATTCTTTTTCCAAATTAGTTTTAGACTGATTTAGTTTTTAAATCAGTTCATCCTTCTTACTAATACAACTTTTCAAAGCAGTACTATCATCAATCAAAGAATTCTTTCAATTATCATTATCCAAAGAAGCAACCAAATGAGGAATGATTCCATCATTCACATTCCTTATTTGAATCATAACAACATAGTTTAAAGAATCTCCCAAAGATTCTTTCATATTAAAAATTCCATTTTTCAATCTTTTTTCAACCTCCATATAAAAGATGTTTCTACAATATTAGAAACTTTAATTTGAGTTTTCCCATTAACATAAACTGGATAAGTTGTATCAGTTACCTTACCATTTAGATTATCAAGCGTTGAAAACCACTAGTGCCATTAGCTAAAAGAACATCAGGCTTAGCATAAACTAGTTAGAAACATTAGTATTAAGATTATCATGAAAAGGAAAAGCATTGAATTAACCAATTGAATATCTAGCTTTCTAAGAGTAGACTGTAAAGCCTTATTAATTATAAGTTTCTTTTCGTCAACATTAGGAAATCTAGCAGGTTTATCTTTCTTTAATTCATAGTGATAAATGTAACAAATAACATGTAAATGTCCAAACATTTTGCATTTGGTTCAGTAGCATGAAGCAAATTTCATATCTCCATTCTGCAAGTAGCCATTATTAGCATTTCCCATCCAAATTGTATCATGAAAAATAGAAGTAACATCTCGTTCAACCACAACTCTAGCCATCAAAGGCTTAGAACAATTCTAAGTAGCAACATCAACTTTTAAGAGCTTCCAAAAATAGAACCCAAAGTGTATAAGAGTTTCAGATTGAAGAGATGCAATTTTAACCCAGGAGACCTTACCCAAACCAACACAATAGGAAGTTATTCTTTAGGATTAAAATAGGGAGTCTCTTGCAAAATCTTCATATAAGATTTTTTTTCAATTAAAAGGATCTTTCAAGAGAAGATATATAGTCCTCTTCCATCTCTACTTTGATCATTAAATTCTTCTCGTCAATTAATCCTAAATTCCACTACCAACTAATCTCTATCCGCAAAGAACTTTCTAATAACTTCCATTTTCTTTTGAGTAAACACTAATTTACCCATCAAAGTGTACATAAGAGGTTCCACAAACACAGTGCTTTCTTCCTCAAGAATGAATAAAGCAAGTTTATAGTTTTTCATAGAAGCTTTCTTGAGCAAACCAGCCAAAGAGGAATCAACAAGTTGCTCCTTAAAGCTATATGGAAAGAAATCAAGAAAAGACTCAATAGGACATCCTGCAACCACGTCACAAAAAAAGAGACCAACCTTCCGAGTGGGAGACACCACAAAACTTGAAGAATGATCAAAACCTCCATGAAACCACTAGGAGGTCAAGGAATCTCCTCAAAAGATAACAGGAAACCCTTTACAGTCTAAGAAACCCATAATTGGATGTATTTTTTAGTATTGTTCTCAGTGTGTATGCATGTATGTATGTGTGCATATGTATGTATGGATGCATGTATGTATGCATGAATTAATGGATGTATGGATGTATATATGTATGTGTGGATGTATGGATGTATGGATGTATGGATGTAGGTATATGTGTATAAGATTGGAGACTCTCATGGATGTATCCTCAAGATCTCATTTTGACAACGTATGAGCTATATTTGCACATTTCCTTACGTTCCCATCCGTAGCATAAGTCGTGATTTTTTCCCTCAGCTAAAAGAGACACTCTGGAAGGGGGGCACTAATTATCTTTTCTTCAATTAACCAAATTATTTTTTCCTTCAGAGAGGTCCATTGCCACATTCTATTTTAGCTCAGTCATACCTTTTGTGTCAAGACTGTTTTTTCATCAGTTGTTCAGTAGAAAAAAATGCCACAAAATAAAATCCAAGTGATGTAATAAATCTTCATCTTTCACATCTACTAAAAGATATTTTTGTGAGATTTAATTTGCATGTGTGTTGGATTTGCAAAATTTTAGTTATGTCAGTTGTTTTGCTAGCATTCGATGGCCCAGGCAAAACCCCAAGTGACCTGACCATAAGATCTTCATCCAACAAAGTAGAACCTAAAAGAAAAATTCACCTTAACGATCCACATTGATGAATAGAACCCCCAAGGGAACCTGCCTATAGGTAAGGGCTAAATGTTCCTTTTATCGTTTCACCACCTTCTTCTTTCTCTTTCAACTGTCTCACGCTTGCGATTCCAAAATAAACCCTATAAGATTTCGAAGGTGGGGATGTTAATGTACTTATATGTAATGTTCCCCATCTGAATTTTTTCAAGCGATGAAACGCAGAAAGCAGATGCAAAGATTAAAACAAAGACAACAAGTAAAAGGATGAAAGAGCTGGCACCAGCTCTACTTATTAGAGGTGAAGAACCCAAATTTCAAGGGAGAGTTTCACTCAACATAATTATCATTGAATAAAGATTTATTATCGACCTGATATTTTCATTATTCTATTATTTTTTCAGTGCCGTTGATTTCTAAAAAAAAACGATAAATTAAATATGTCTGATAAGAATACAATCATATTAAACTTGTGTGGCATCAAGACAATCTTGTTATTTACTTCATTATGATTCCTCAGATCAGTTCCAACATTGTAGTCCTCTGAGTTAACAGCCTTGCCCCAAATTAAAAAAAAAAAAAAAAACAAAATGAAAAAAAACAAGTTCAGTTCAAGTTCAAATTAAAGTGGAGACTAACTCTTAGGAGAAATTATTTCGTACGGACATTGCATACAGAGATGTATACGGTGTCTGATATCCACCGTCGATTACCGCAATAAAAAATTCAAAAAAAAAAATGAAAGTGGGGTCTACTAAAATACATCTTTACGATCATCGATAGTGTAGATATATGATGTCCATATGACGAACAACTAACAAGCATGGAACCCAACAAGTATACAAGAAGCATAAATTGAAATATAGCCTGGTCAGAGGATAACGTGCTAGCGATAATATTAAAATATATGCTAATATCAAGGTAAGGCAACAGAGAATAGTCAAGAGCCCTACAGTGATAAATATAATTTATATTTTATAGAAAACTCTTTTTTATAACTACAGAGATTATGCATATATATATATATATATACATATATATATATATATATATATACATATATATATATATATGTGGCTATCTGGTATCTTATGAAGAAACATTATGTATTTAAATAAATGTATCACATAGAACGTCATCAGCTAGTGTTTTCTGTAATTCGCTGTTCCCTAACCAACAATAATCGTCCCCACTAAAAAGGAGAAAAAAAAAAAACTACTACGAATATATTGAGCCAAATTAATTATAGTAATGGTAAGTTTAAACATAATTACTTTATTTATGTGGAAAATAACATACGTAGCACGCAATTCTTTGCATAATCGACGTTATAATGAATCGATTTCAGATGAATTTGATTTGACTCAAACTTAAGAACTTTATTTCATGTTTATCTAATAATTAGTATAAATTTATATTAATATGAAATAAGGTGGTTTGCTTTGGATTTTGAGTAAAATATTTTTCATTGAACTGTAGATTATTTTTATTTAATTATTTAAGTATGATTCTGAATTATATGTGGGATGATTGGATAAAAATCTGAAATTGAACCAAAATCAAATCCACGCCCAAATTACCACTGGAAATTGATTCCTAATCCGATTTAATTGATTTAATATTAAGTCAAATTTTGAGGACGTAATTTCTATCTTAAGATAAAAATAATTTATCGAGTGACATACAATAAAACAACCCCAATTCCCATGTTGCCTACCGGTCTTTAAGAATGAAACGCAAATAAATAAATAAAGATAGAATCATGACACTCCAACTTATGTTTCAGCAAAGCTTCATCCTACTTTATAATGAAATTTTCTCAAAGCATATGTCGAAAAATTACCTGCGCGGACCTTAATGAGATCCCACCATAGCAGAGAGGCTCGCAAAAGCAGAATGCAGGAACACAAGGCTCGCAAAAGCCGGCCGGAAGCTGTCAACTGAGCCAGGTCAAGAACAGTTATCTAAACCGAAGGTTAGAAAATTCAACTAAAACACACGATAAAATTTCTAAGATCAGCAACCCAAACATCATTAGCAGACGAAAAACACCGACTGGCCACCTCACCCAATAGTCAACCGACTCATTTGAACTTCAGACAATTGACCAAAGGGTTGCCGAGCGACATGCTCAGGAACAACAAAAAACTAGAATATTTTGGACAACCTTCTCTCAAACCGATGTAAGTGTAATTTCAATGTATGGTCCTCCTATCTTCTATAAATAAAACCGTTTCATGTTTTTGGGATTTTTTTGGCCGGGTAAGCTCTTGACTTTCTTGACCTATAAGCCTTTATGCTTTCACCCTTTTTTTCTCCTCCTCTCTTCCAAACTTAAATATTAAATGATATAAAGTAAGTCGCAGAGCTAGTGAACACTCATCTTCACCCCCTCCAGGCAAATCATGTCGTGCATCTCTCTCTCTCTCTCTCCCTTTCCCCCTCTTCATTGATTTCAGCGCTTCATCCTGTGTTCTAAAATTCCTTAGAAAATCCTAATTTTTAAAATTATGCCTCTCTGGTTATAATTCTTATAATAATTCCAAACCGTTTTGTCTCCCAGTACTTACAGGATCATAAACTGGACAAAATCACACTAATTAACATCAATAAAACGAAAAGCAAAAAGGACTTCTACAGATCAGCGCAGAATTCCGAGATACTCTCAAGCCTCGGCCTCCAAACCGCCTCCTTTCCCTTCCTCCTCACTCTCTGCGTCACCTTAAGGTTCTCCGGCAAGCATCTTTCTCTTCTCCGCCTCTTCTGCCCCCCCACCCTCGCCGCCGTCTTCTCCCCTGACACTGGCATCAGAAAGTATATCTTCCCACGTTTCAGTTCAGCGTTGAGCGGTAAAGTCACCGCCCGGCATGGCGCCGACGAGCTGTCGTAGACGTCGGCGGAACTCGACGGAGATGGCAGCTTTCGTAGAACGTGATTGGGATGTGCTTCCATTATGTCGGCGACAAAGACGAGGGAGCGGCCACTGATCTCTTCGACGCGGCCGCTGGAGTGGACAATGCGGATTACATCGAGAGCGCCGCAAGGAAGGAAGCAGGAGATGAAGCAACGTATGAGATCCTTCATGGCTGTATGGTTTGGTTAAGTTGGGGATTGAGGAAGAAGATGAGTTGCAGAAGCAAAGGACGGGGTGGGAAAGCAAAAGATGCGTGTCTATATGCATATATAACCAAATAGTTTGAATTTTGGCTCGACATGCGTGTTTCTTTTATATTTCAACCACTGAAAACATAATTTTATATGTGAAATTTAAATTTTAAATTTATTTCTATAATAATTTAATGCAAAGTGGCATCAAAATGTACAGTAAAATTTTAAATTATTTTAGTGATGTTTTCATGTATCATTAATTGAATGTTATATAGTAAAACCACCTTAGTTTTCGTTCCAAGTGTTCCTCTAGCTTGATCTCCTCCGTCTATTGACTAAACAAGCGATCAGGAGACTTTCCTTCTTCATCCCCACATGACCTATCCCGTATTCATTCACACTCAAACTTTAAGTTCTCGAGCTAGACTCTACCAAATCACATTGGTTTTGTTCCTAAACCTTCATCTACTCAAGACGAACATATCTATACGACTTATGCGATATGAAATATAGTAAATATGTATGGAGATACAAAATAGGTCTGGATTAAGGTTGAGGTTCAATACCTTTTTCTTAGAGGAGTAGGCTCAATCAGATGGTTGTGGCATCTTTGAATGGACCCAACGAACCTTCAAATGAAGTCCTAGGCCCTGGTGACTTGTCTATGTATGATTTCGACCGAACTCAATTTTAGGTGTTGGTCTAGAGCTGTGTTAAGGGTTGTTTAAGATGGGGCTTTTGTGGGGAATCAACTCCTCTCACTATAGGGATGGTGTGTGCACAGTTAATTGGGGTTTGGTGG